GCGGGCCGCTAGCTGCTGATTGGCGGAAAGGCTCGGAAGCGCCAGGCCACGCCCACGCCGCGGGCCGCTCGCTGCTGATTGGCGGGAAAACTCCGGTAGTGCCAGGCCACGCCCACGCCGCCGGCCGCTCGCTGCTGATTGGCGGGAAAAGCCCCCTGGCGCCCGACGGCGCGCGTGCGCGCGGGGGCAGCATCGGCGCTGCGGATTGGCTGGCGCGGCCCGGCCAATGGGAGCGGGCGGTGTTGGGGTGTGTGGAAGCGGGAGGACTGTGGGGCTGCTCAGGATCGTGAGGGGCGTTCGGCCCCAGCCCGTTCCTGGGAACCTCGAGTGCCCGCATGGGCCGGGTCTGCCTCCGCTGAGTTCCCCCCCCGGGTGCCCTCCGTGCTCCGCTCCGGTTTTGCTGATTTCTCGGTGTCCTCAAAGGTGCAGCTTGCTGAGCCCCCGGTGCCCGCAGGACGCAGCTCCGGCCCCGCTGAGCCCCCGGTGCCGGGCATGGGGCTGCTGACCCAGCTGGCCCGCGGACTGGTGCGCGGCGCCGACCGCATGTCGCCGTTCACCAGCAAGCGCGGCCCCCGGAGCTACAACAAGGGCCGTGGCGCCAAGAAGCTGGGCGTGCTCACCCGCAACAGGAAATTCATCCTSGTCAAGGAGATGGTGCCCGAGTTCGTCGTGCCCGACCTGACGGGCTTCAAGCTGCGGCCCTACGTGTCGTACCGCGCCCCCGAGGGCTCCGAGCCGCCCATGACGGCCAAGCAGCTCTTCGACGAGCTGGTGGCTCCGCGCATCGAGAAGGACGTGAAGGACGGCACCTTCGACCCCAACAACCTGCAGAAGTACGGCTTCGAGCCCACGCAGGAGGGCAAGCTCTTCCAGCTCTTCCCCAAGAACTACGTGCGGTAGGGAGTGGGCAGCGGAAGAGCATCGCGGGTTTGCCACCACCSGCCAGCACGGGACAGCTTCTGTCACTGAACATTAAAGCACATCCTTCTACTTGTCCTTATGTTATATATGATTTAAACCCCGGGGGAAATCCGCGGTTTGATTTCCTATCCTGGGTAATCCATCTGTGAAACAGTTGTGCCTGGAGAACACGGCCCTCTGGGGGTTCTAAGGGTGAGAGGTCCGTGAGGTTTCTAAATACAAAGCTGCTGCCAAGTATTAAGAATTAAACTTTAATAATTAAATCGAGGCTGAAAACGTTCATTTTGGGAGAAAGGAAGCATGTTTAGTGTATGGTCTGTGGGCACTCCGTCTCTAGTAAGGGCTGATAGATGAGGCCTTACGGTGGTGGTTAGAAGCTGCACATTTTTGGGGCTGTGATGGARTGGGGATGCTGCAGCCCCAAATCACAGGACAAGTTGTGAGCAGGGATCAGCCTGCTTGGAGGGAGGTAAGGCACAGCTTTTCAWACTGAACTSTGCATTTKTCACTTCTGTGAAGCTGATCAGAACAAGTTACAAGTGGKTGTTTCTGCCTTCAGCTCTGGATGCCGCTGCTGCTGGCAGAGGTGTCCCCTCAGCCCTTCCCTTGTGTGACTTTCTGCCCAGTCAGGACACTGCACGTGGCTGGAGGAGGGCAGAGGATGGGGATTGCAGGGCTGGAGAGCAGCAGCTCCTGTGCCCTCTGATGCCAATTCCAGCTTGGAATTTTTACAGTTCTTACACCTCATGTAAGGCAGATAATAACTGTGTCTCCCCTTCTCTGAGCAAAGCCAAAATGGCCCAAACCCTTAAGCCATGTTGGTCCCAGTCAGCGACACAGATGCAGCTGCAGCTTCACTGCCCTCGGGCTGTTCCCTCTCGATCTCACAGGGCAATAAAAAGCATTACAACCTTTAAAACAGAGTCATCGCCAGTTACAGAGACACACCCTCGGTTTTCCCAGGRAACTGGATTGTCCACTCTGACTCTAAAATATTAACCCCCTGAAGCCTGAGCCATCCCAGTTCAGAGGGTCCTCRTGAGGACTACCTGYCAWGTCCTTTGATTTTCAAAACTCCAAACAACCAAAAAAAGATAAATCAYTTATATTGGTTTTATTTTAGAAACATCCAAAAATAGCATGTKTTTTCTTTAACAAAAGCTCTTGTTTTCATTACTGATATGAATCTTCATGTAACAATGCTCAAGAATATTTTYTAAAATACACATTCACCCTTGAGAAGGGGTTTTCAAAGCAGCAAAGTTCTCGTCTGCTGGACCTCGTTTAGTTGCAGCACTGTTACACAGAGACCTGTTGCTGGTGTTTCTTTYCCTCCAGAAAACTCATTCTTTAGGACCCTCAAAGACAAACCATGCAAGCTAAAAGTTATCTATCTAGTTTAAGCTGGTTTTTTGTTTCTAGGAATAGAGAAGATGTTCCAGAAAGGGTGTTTTGCTGATATTTCACAGTGAAAAAAGAGCTAATGGAGCAACCATGAGAAATCCTGCAGCCATTCCTGGAGGTAGTTAGGGCAATGCTGTTAAGATTTTGGTTTCTGTATTTACTTTGAACTTAAAAAGATGTCAGGAAACACCACATATCTTTTTGGAGGTTTTGATCTTAAAGCTGTTTACCTTTTAGAAACTGAGCTTGACTTTGGACCTAAATGTGGCTCTGTAGAGAGCAGAAAACATGAGCTGGATACTGAGAGGCCATGGGGGTGGTTGAATGGCACTAAAACATGCTGGGGTCACTACAGGGTGTATCTAAACCAGGGTGTGCTCGGCTGGGAATGATGGAGGAGTCTGCAATCAGGTGATGAGGCTGATGGAAAACGATGGATATGCACCAGGATTCTCAAGAAAGGCTCCTCTCCCCACAGCACTTCCTTCTGAACGTGACCTTGTCTCTATCAAACAGCACTGTGGGCACATGGCACTGCATCTGGCCTGTCTCAGCTCTTCTCCATGGACACACACACATCACACAGCCAAGCCTCTGCTCAGGGGCTTTTCTGAGACATTCAGGGAACCTTCTGATCGCTTACTGGGTCTGCACAGCAGCACAGCCAAGTCTGGTTTGTGAGGAAAGGAGGAGAACAGGCTTAACACATCCATGGTGAAATGCAAACGAGCCTTGAAAGAATTCAAATCTGAGGTACAAAGCAGCAGCCTGTGAGAGGAGAGCAGTCCCACTTGGAACTAGAACATARGGGAAAAACTAAATAAACCTGTCTGGGCTTGACCACAGGCCTCTCTCTATGCAAAGGCCTCCCTCCGTGCTGAAAATARAACACCAGGAATTCCATCAGTGTTGGCTCTGAAGGACTCCCAAGCTCAGCAGTAAGACTGGGAAAGACCAGCAGAAGTTAGACAGGGTGTTAAGTTCAGCTGTCACTCTCAGTTCAGGAGTTTTCCTCCCCGTTCCCTTGGGACTGGTCAATGCAAACTTTCAGSTGTTCTTTCAGATGGAGATCTGGGACTTGGCACATCTGGAGGGGTCACCAGGCTCATCTCCCACTTCCAGACATGGAGGATGTTGTCATAGAAAGAACAAGTGGCTACAATGCTCATTTCTTTGGGGCTGTCTGGAGACCTGGCWGAGTCACTGCCTCTGTCCAGGCCCATTCCATTGGGTCTCTTGGCTCCGGAGTCAGAGCCACTGGCTGACCCAGGATCTGCCCCTTGGGCAGCCAAATCTAAACTTCCCTTTAAACCAGAGCCCTTGACCAGTCCAGGATCCCCAGCCAGCTTTGGCCCTGCCCCTGCTCCAAGTGCCACAGCAGGGCCTTCGCTCTCCTCATCCAGGATTACATCAAAAGTAGCTGTAGGAGATTCATAAATTATTTTCAGGTTCTGGACCTGCAAATTCAGCCTCTCATCTCCTTCTCCCGATGCTCCCAGGAGCTCCTCTGAAGGCTGGCACCCAGCAGCAGCAGGGTCCTGTGTGACAGGCAAGGAATCCCTCGGACACAGCCTTGACCAGTCAGCCCCRTAGGCCAAGGAATTGTGCAGCACATAGGATGACAGGATGATACATTCCTCTGTGTTTTCCGCTTTAAAAAAAAATGAAATTAACAGAAATCAGGTTGTGGTTTGTGGCAGGCTGYTCAGCAGCCATTCCAGCACTGGCTGCATCCCACAGGAAGAACTCTGATTATTGCTTTCTTCACCATCGAGTGAAGCTTTGCAGGAGGAATGAGGTATTGACCATTTTTCAGCCCCCTCTCAAAGGGCTTAATTCTCCCTGGGTCAGTGACAGATGAGGGTTTAACATGCAAGAGCTTTAAGAGCATCATCATTCAAAGTACCAACAGAAGCTCAACACAGACAAGATTGATCACACCACACCTTCACTGAGCCATGAACACACCTGGAAGGCTGCCAGCTCCTGGTTATTAAAATACACTGCAGATGTTCTTCCTGTCAGCTTTCAGCATGTCATCCTGACAGTAAGTGGACATCAAGTTCCTTCCCTCCASAGGAGAAATGCTATCCTCATTTCCTAAGCTGTGGATCTGCCCAAGGTCTGAAGAAACCCAGGAAGGCAACGATYCTGTGTCAGACTGATTTGTAATGTGCATGCAAACAGCTTTTCCACCATGGAAGTACCTCATGATTAACACAAAGGGCTTATTCATGTTATTCTGGATTAACCAGGCTGCAAAGCACTTCCTGAGGCAATAACCGATTCCCCRACAGGTCAGTAACTCCTGCTGACAGGAAAGCACCAGCTGACATTCAGAACAACACCACTGAACCATCACAATGAACCCAATCCAGAATGGCTGTGCCCTCACACCAAACACAAAGGCGTTCCTTCTGTGAAAAGAAGTCACGAAAGATTTACACACAAATAGTGACAGGGCATTGGCACAACCAGGCAGGCCAACAGAATGGACAGATGTGGAAAAGCTGGAAGAATAGCCTCAAACTGGAACAAAAGTGTCTGGCTATTAACATCACCTCAATCCTTCCAGCAAGGTCCGAGCTGGAGCTCCCCACTAAGCAGGAGGCAGCAAAGGAGAGCAGCAGAGCAGYCCCAGAGCACCTCCATTCCCTGGACACTCACCCAGGCTCCCGCGGCAGTCGAGGATCTTGAACCCRCTCTGCATGCAGGCTGCCAAGAGCACGAAATCACACGTGGGGTGCCACTTCAGCCTCCAAACACCGCCTTCCACGTGGGTGTCAGCCAGAGGCTGCTTCAYGTTCCTGGTGTCCCACAGCAGCACGTGCTCATCATAGCTGGGGACACGGCACAAACAGGCAGAAAAGCAACACGGCTGAGTCAGTGCACAAAAAAAGGCAGCAAAGATCATGTGCTCTGCACCACAGGGAATTTCTGAAAGGGCAGCGGCACATTCAGGTAACAGAGGAGGTTGGTCACACCAGGGAAGAGCAGCTGGAAGGGACTCACCTGCCCGTGGCCAGGAGATTCTCTCGATGGGGACTGCACTGAATGCTGCACACACCCATGGAGTGTCTGCAAGGGAGGAACATAGAGCAGAGGGAAGAGACAGCAGTGTACAATTTGAGAAGGGYTTCTTCCTTGGATTTCGAGGATTTTGAGGCCACAGGATTGCATCAGGATGTCTCAGGAGAGGTAAGATCAAAATTTCAGTCCAGTCACATCCATGCAGAGTTCCATCTGCATAGTCCAACAGCCTTCCCAGGGCAAAACTTCTATTCACACCAGTTCTCAGCACAAGTATTTTCTAGTAATATTTCCTAGTATTTTCTACCCCACGAACTGCTGCTCCAAGGCCCTAAGAATTCCAGCAGTACAACTCCATTCCCAGGAGACTTTACTCCCAACATTAGTATTTCCATAGCAATAATCCCCAGTGTAATTTACATTTACATACAGAATTCCACTGGAGAGCTGTGTATATTGTTTTAATCATACTTTAAAAYAAGATCTAAAAAGAAAAGAGATCACTTCAAATAACTAAAGATGGCAGAAAACAAAATATTTTCTAAAAAACATTCCATAATAACATATCCAAATATAACACACACAAAAATTGCCAAAATAAAAGTGCAAGTCGAGATCCTTTTATAGAAATAAACTACCACCATTTTCACATGTGGAAGTCAGCGCTTGGTTTATTGTGTTGGAGGACATGGATAATAAAAGTTTCAACCTGAAGCTGTCATGATGAAAAAAACCTAATCTGCTCCCAGAACCAGGACCCACTGTCACTGTGGATCTTCGAATTCAGTGGCTTGRGGAAGGGCACAGCAGCACCCGGTGTTCCCACCCCACTCTGGAGGGTCTGGCTGTGGACACGGCTCACTTACCTCCTGCTGGTGAAGACTGGAGCCTCCGGGCTGCACCTGGTGTCCCAGCCCTTGAGCAGGCTGTCATCCCCTCCTGCCCAGGGACAAAACACTGTGACCCTCAGCACCAGCCAGAGAGCTCTGGGGCAAAGCAGTGCAGAGCCTGCAGCTCCTCCTGAGGGGCAGCTCTGATCTCTGCTCCCTGGGACAGGACCCAGGGAATGGCCAGAGCTGGGTCAGGGSAGGSTCAGGCTGGAGAGCAGGGAAAGGTTCTTGTGTCCCCAGAGGGTGCTGGCACTGCCCAGGCTCCCCAGGGAATGGTCCCGGCCCCGAGGCTGCCAGAGCTCCAGGAGCGTTTGGACAGCGCTGCCAGGGATGGACAGGGTGGGGCTGTTGGGGGGTCTGKGCAGGGACAGGRGCTGGGCTGGGTGATCCTGGTGGTCCCTTCCTGCTCAGGCCAGTCTGTGATACAGAGCTGATGCTTTCCAGCCCTGGAATCTCACAGAATTTACCAGACACACCAGAAATCACACAGAAGCTCACAATACCCATCACCACAGAAAAGACATGTGGTTATCAATACCCTTTGGTAAGAATAATAAATTAGAAGTCAAAAAGACTGGACTCAAAAAGCTCTGTGGCTCTTGCACACTGCAAGAGAATATAATCTTTTTTGCCACCCCAAGTATAGTTTACAGGCACAGCATCTCCTAATTAACTCCAATCTTATCCCACCATCAAGAAGCCTTTCACCCTTGAGCAGAGGCCCCAGCAGAACCAACAAACAGCATAACCAACCCTGGAAAGTGAAAACCCAAGGAACACATCCCT